AACAACACATTAAAACTCACTCCAACAGGCTGCAACGACTGCAGCGCCAATCGGATGAGCATAAAAGTCAGCGCAGCATTGCACAATAAAAACGTTGGGTAATGAAGTGGCTGCTAAGCTGAAATTCGCTATGCGTGCAACAACAGTATGAACTAGCTATGAAGCTAATATAAAACCACACACACAGCAATATGCATGCAAGCCAAGTGGAGAACTCTGTACTATTGACTCCATTCACACTGCAGCAATTGCCCAAACCTCGACTTCATCTATCAACCGTGACCCTGACAGGCAGCAAAACAACAAACGCCATTTCACAATGCCAGCCCTGCTCCTACGCGCGCTGCGGTGCAACATGCCACACGACCTTTGCTCCGCGTCAACATGTTGAGCTTCCGTCCGTTTTGCCATCTAAAAATGGCGATTTTCTAGTATAATATGGCTTGGCGCCGGATACGATGTGTGGCACGTGGCATGCAGCATTCGGGATGCTGCACGTTAGCGCCTTTAGGTGCCGGCTTCGTCGTACGATGCAGTTTAGTTTTTGTTCGCAGCTGACAGCCACAACAATTGCATATGCTGTGTGGCTGTGTGTGTGTTTCTGAGTGTATTGGCGTCAAGTGTTTCCTTTGTTCTCGGCATTTGTGGCATTCGTTTGTTCTTTTGCTATTTTCATGCTATTTTCTACTCGCTCTAAAGTGCCACTATTGAGTGCCTTGGCGTTGTTGTTGTTGCTGCTGCTGCTGGCGGTGTTTACGGCCAAGTGTTTGTCCGCATCACCTTTCTGAGCATCAAATCACGCGCAAAATTGTTAGGCGTTTTTTCCGTTGTGAAATTTCCGCCACTTTGAATTTTGTTTATTTCTGTTAATTCGCCTGTTTTTGTTGTGCTTTGTGCCATAACAGTTATGCGGCTGCTGTATTGTTGAAGCTTGTTGAAGTTTCTATTACTATTTGAGTTGCGCATTGTTTGATTGCACTCGTTGTTGAGCTTTTGTTGTTTTAACTTGATTTTTATCGCCATAGAAGCGAAATTATATTCATAGTGTTAAGAATCAAAAGTGTTTAATCCGTTTTAAATTAGTTCGTAGCTCCAGCCTCTGAGGTAAGGGCGATTGCTATAGGTACTCCGATTTATAGCTCACTTCGAACATAACTGTTATATATATGGTATCAATAAAAGTCTTTTATAAGCTTTTAATTAAATATCAGCTGAAAGTAATTTTATTTATTCTTGTGTAATTAGAAAACTGAAAGAAAAACGAATTCAATAAAATGTGTCGCATATGCGAGATTTGAGTATTTTCTCAACTACTTTTTTGTGTGAATCTTTATTTTAATATTTGTTATAATAGACGAACTCAAAAAATTAAATATCATCAAAATCGATTCAGTCGTTCTTGAGTGAAGGATTTTGTTATTAACCCGAAATTGTCGTCGTAAGTCTAAGAGTACAAGTATTTAAGGCTGTTGCAAGAATGGTGATTTCGACGAAGTCCATATCCCTATATGTTGCTCGCTTCTCACTTGCAAACTTTATTTAGTAAAAGAAGCTTATACTGAGAGTAATTTTGAGCTCCTTATTACGATAATGCGAGTACAGATTACAGGCAGGAAGACAAAAGAACCGAATGTGAGTACTGGACCAGGTACTTATATCACTATTAAGTGATAAACCCCAAATGATGGCTTTCATTTTCTGAAATCACAATCACTAGGAGACAGAATATGTATTTTGAAGTGGGATAATTTATAAAATTAAAATATAGCTGTACATTTTTTTACAACAAAGAAACTAAATTTAAATAATTAATATTCACACATCTAAATTAAATATATTTTGGAGGGCCAGTATATCGGAAAATCTAAAATGCATCATGCCATATCATCAAGAAAATCGAAATAGTATATTATTTTGATTACAGTACACTACATCATGACATAAAATTATGTACAAAATTTTAAGAGATTCTAGAGTTAGATATTACCAAGTTGTAACCAAAATTCAAATTTTTTTCCAAAAGGAGTAGTTTATTTTATACTCGTATATCTTTGTTTCCTTCTCCTAAACTTATGGAAATTGGTGTTAAATTATTTCGCATTTTAAGTGCCGATATGGCAATATAAGGTAAGGTCATATACTCTAAGCTTATAATTAAATAAGAATCCCCGTGATCAGACTACACGTATGGGAGTATTAATATTAGAATCGGGCTTATATGGATATGCTCGATTGGAATTTTTGGTTTGCATTCCCCGTTAATCCTACTTGTGGTTCGTGACTTCGCTTCGTTAGTCCACCAATATGTTTACAAAAAACTAAACTAAGTTTAATCTATTTGAAAATGCATTTGTTCAGATAATAATACTTAATGCTTATTTAGAAGCGTTATGTTGGCAGCAAAGCGAAATCTGGGTACCTTGGGACCACCGAAAAAATTAAATATTGCTTGTACTGATGATAACCAGAGCAAAGTTTTTGAACACAACATAATAGTTAATAACCAACATGGGCGGCAACCCTTTGAAAACTTCGAGGCTTTGAAAAGTTCAACTTACCACTTCAATTGGCATCTTCGCCCGCGATATCCAAATCGTGAATGGCTTTGTGTACTCGGTACGTCCTGATTAATCGCTCGGTGTGCTGCACTATCTGACACTATCGATTAACTTAGATTCACTAAATTCAAGTTTTGAGACTTTCACTCTTCTACACTTCTCTCAATTCAACAAGTTTGCTCTTCGTTTTAAGTACCTCAGGTTTCTTTTCACATTTGTTTATGCGTTCGAAATGTTCGAATCGAAGACAATCTTTTTTAAAGCACTTTTATTTTTAACAATTAATTCCATTGTTTGAGACCCTACAATTGCTTTGTGACTTTTAGCATGCCACATCAGCAATTTTCGAACAGTTCCAAATGGGCGCTCCTTATTTTCGAAACTACTCTAACTTTCACTGTTCACTGTTCGGTAATATTACAAACCGATTTTCTTTTCTGAAAATCTGGGACTTCAACATTTTTTTCACTTGCCTATTTTCACATTTATTGGCTGTTCTATACTTGGAAAAAAATCCAATTGCTTGCAGTGTTTACTACTTTGATTTTACTGGGATCGCTCGGATACAAGGTAAGCTCCAAAAACACGACCAATCCGAAAGCTCACTGATGTTCATCTAAACTGTTCTGAACTATTTCAAAATTATTTTGGGTACAAGTTTTGGATCTCCGTGTTGAGTATAGTCGTTTGATTGCATTGTCGTGCGTTTCTGCGTCGCGCCGCCGTTGTTGTATCTGTTGCTGCTATAGCCGTGTCTGCCGTCCGTGGTTTGAACAAACCAAGTTAAGCTGAGCGCCAAGCTAAGTTGCGTTGCAGTTGTGCCGCTGCAGCCGCTTCCGCGCGCTTAGTGACCGCGCGCAGAGCCGATTTGCAGCAAGCTGGGAACCGATGCGAACCGAGCTGCTGTTCTGCAGAGATCGCCGTGCATACGCCGTAGTCATGCAGGGTCCGAGCGGTGGTGCGCTGTCTGTGGTATGCCCCGCACCATCTCATATATCGAGGATGTGCATGTATGCGTGCGCTCTGCGGTTGTGTTGTCAATGTTGTCGCCGTTGATGTTGTTGACGTTGCAGGCTTTGATTTTTTCCTTTGCACTTTTTGCTACTGCGTTTGTGGATTTCGGCATTTCTCCTGCCACCATTTCGTGCATATAAGTGAAGCAGAAAAATAAAAATCAATCAGTAGGCCCATACATAGCACCGTTGCAGTCTGTCCTCCAGCACGGAGCGGCCTAGCCAACTCTCCACTCAAACTCGAGCGGAATGACGAAACTCAATATTTTCGGTGAGTGCGACATACATACATATTCATATGAGTGTGTTGTACAATTTCATGCCACATATTCTATCTCCGGCCCTTCACTATGGCGTAATCGCACACGGTTGCATATGCGCGCTCCACATTATCCTCGCTTCTCTATCGAGTGCAATTGGCGAGTACTGAAAAAACCGAAAAAGTATTAAAAATATAAAAATCAAACAAAACCTGACCAATCACACCAAAAACATGAAAAAACTTAATTGAAACCATATAAAAATTTTGTTATGCGCCTGCAACACCGCCGTGTTCCTTGCTAAGCGTCCTGCAGCGTGCGCTGCTGCAGTTTGCGGCGCTGCCTTCACATACGCCTCTGCTATTCACCTTCTCGCATGTTAGTTTAGCGCAATAAATAAAAATGTGCGCCCCGAAACGGGAGCAATGGAGCGGCAGTGAGGCAGAGAGCGTCAAGCCGAGCCAAAAAAAAAAATAAAAAAAACAAAAAAAGGAAATCACAAACGAAATGCGCGTCGAAAAAGTGATATAAGATAAAGCAAAACTAAAAATAAAAAGTGCAAGCTTCGACGTACATGTTGCAGCGGGATGAGAGCAATTGCCGCTGTTGTATGGTGCACGGACACGGCGTAAGCGCGGAAAGCGTGGCGTTCTCGAACAGCTGTGTGCGTGCTCGCTGCACTGGTCGCTGGTCGCTGGTCGACGATAAGGATACGCGTTGCATTGGTCGTTTTCGCGGTGGTTGTGGTGTCGCAGTCGCTGTTGCTGTCGTGCACTTTTTCGGCAACCTAACGTACGCTCACACATGCACACTCACACGCTCCACCACATTTACGCACATGAGAGCACCAAAAAGTGCATTGCAAAAAGACAAATGGAATATGGCTGTGCAGATTTTTTTCAAAGCAGCCCCTATCAGCGACACAACAAAAAGACACTGCATTCCCAACCCCCAGTGTGGGGACTCTGCCGGCGTCGACAAAGCTTTCGCTGCTGCTTAGCCGCTTAACAGTGGAGAAAATCAAACAAAAAGGAAGCGCATTTAATCGAATTCGAATTCAAATTCAAAACAGCGTAGAAATCATACAAATTTTGCTAGCATGGCAAATGTGACAGCTGTGATTCTATTTGCAATATTTGCATCATTTGGTGGCAAACAAACACTGTCCGTCAATTGACTTTTGTCATTTTATATTTTCGTTTGCATATTAGTTTTTCTTATTTTAGTAGCAGTGCCGTAGTAGCGGCTTAGACGGCAACGAATTTTAATAGACTATTGGGGCTTGGGAGGACCAAAAGTTCAACGGCCAGTAACAATGTGTTCCAATACGAAGCCATACATTTTTACTTTTCAAATACTGAACTCAGATTACTTGTTTTAATTTAAATACAAGGCCAAACCACACATCGGGTCCAAGGATGTCTATGGAATTTACCGTGGACGTGAGTAGAAACTCATGCTTCAGCTGTTCGGTGGCATACGAATATCTAGTAGCACGAGTGCTACGTACATTTTGATTGTGATAACAGCAAATGCTGGAGCGAATAATTTTGGTGGAATAATGAATATCTTCTTAGCCAACAGAGAAAACAGCGTGCTGAGGTTTCGCTAGACTGGAAATTTCCTAAGTGATAATTTGAAAAATATCTTATTAATTTTTTTTTATATGACAATGATAATAGCTTACGTTCTTTTCAGTTCCGTGAGTTCCGTAGTATTGTTATGTATGCTAGGGTACACATTATCGATATTCTCCCTGGGGTTATTCCGATGTCTGCATATATTGTTGTCAACCAACTCGACAAGTGTGGTTTGAATTTGGCGTATTCGCTAGTTGTCGCTGTAATATTTGAAACTCACAATGTCTATGGACTGGTATTTTTTACTATTAATCTGATAAACGAAAAGGCGCATTAACAGAGCCCGCTAATTATTGCTACTTACAAGTATAAAAGTATGACTAATTTAATTTTGAGTTATTATGATGAGAAGAAATCTGTCTGCGCCCACTGTCTGCAACTCATTATATCTATTTAGTTAGTTATATATTTTTACAATGGCACTCGTACGCATCGCGAACATAAACACACTTTTCAAATCCTCCTTCAATGCAACAACTATGCATGCACAAGCGAGACTCATTTGCCAATTCAGTCATGCAAAACTGCACCAACAACAATAATGATTGCAACAAAAAACCATCAAAACAAAACTACACCAAATAAAATCAAACCCTCTCCTCCCTCGACATAAAGCAAAAAATGACAAAATAAAATCAAAACAAAACAAAAACAGGCCTAAAAATAAAAATCGAACAAACATCGATCATGCTTGCTCGCTCTAATTGGCATGCTCTCCTACTCGCCTACGCACCGCGAAGCACTACGACAGTCAACTACACACACACACATTTGAACGCACACTTATGTGGAGACTAGATTTCGTGCGACGCAAACGGCCACAGCTGGCCGCTGGAGCTCGGCCGAGTCGTGGGCCGCGAGCAAATGCCGCTGCCCCACCGCCAATGCTTTGCATTCTATTCGCTTTTTTATTTTGCCCTTGCTGTTGTTGTTAATGTTGTTGACGCTTTTGCCACAAAACTTGTAGGCTTTTTTGTGAATTTTCGTGCTGCCTGCACGATGACATTGAACGCGGCGGTAAGCGAGGCGACGGGATGGGCGCTCGATTGGCGGAATGCTCTATCGGCTGCAGTCGACGATGTGTGCAAATTCACATGCATGCACGCGTGTGTATGTGTTAGTGTGATTGTACAAAATAGAAAAAGTAAAAAAATCACAAAAAGTTCTCCTATTAAATTTTTTTGTTTATTTGCTTTTTGTGTCACGCACACAAATGCACTTGTACGCATCCGGAATTCACACGCACACAAATAGAGTAATGCTGCAACCAACCCCAGTGCAATCGGGCTGTTTGCAAACAACCCCAGTGAAAGGCCGCGCGCCACTTGCCACTCGCCATGCACACGGCCGATGCTGCAATGCATGCAACAAACAGCAACAACAAAGCTGCACTTGCCGACCATCGCTACTAGTGTAGAGCAAGGGATGATGGCGCGCGCGGAAGCAACCGCGGAAAATGCAAATAAAAAAGGCGCGAAATAAGGGCAAAACAACGAAAATTCGCAAATAAATAAAAATCAAAATAAAAGTGTGACATGGAAATTATATAAAAATGCGCTAAACACACACGCACGCAAGCACGTGGACATGTGATTGTGAGCTCACGCACGCATAACGCATTGTTGTTAGGCGACAACGGCCTATATATAGGCGCGGGGTGGTGCTGGGCGCTATCCGTAGGGTCAGCGCGGCGGTAGGTGGCGGCGAATTGATGCGTCGAATGGACATTCTGCTACAGACATGCAACATGGAATATTTTCAGCGTGCGCATCCACAGACAAACAACTTGTCAGTGCGCGTGGATACGTATGCCTATAGGAGAATGTCTGTGTACTTGTATGTGTGTGGAGTGTTTGATTAATAGACGTAATGATTAAAAATGGAATAATATTTGTATATGTAGACGAGTCCTGGTGGATTCTGGCGGGCGGCAGCGTCGCAGATGGAGGCGTGTGGGTGGAGGATGCGTTGATGAGTTTCCGAATGTATGTGGAAAAATACCGTAATGCACTTACACATTTATAAAGCAAAAAATAAAAATAAAATACTAAAATGAAATAATAAAAAAACGACGCAGCGCATTTTTATAAATGATAATCAACTGCTAAGCCGACAGACCCAATAGCAACAACAACAACTGGCATACCAAGTTTCAAGCACTCATGCATGCAACAGCATTTAGTATATAGGCGTAGATGCAACAGAATCCGGTGCGCAACAGTGCAGTGTGGATATGTGTGCGTATTGCAACAACGATTGAAATGAGTTGCCGAATCTGTTGGCCGAAAATAAAAAGGCCGCGTGCGCTAGAATGAGAACGCAAATTACCGAAAAAAGGAAAGGAAAGCAAAATATGATTCGCGTTTGCCATTGCCAGCCTAAGCCAGTGCCAGGCCCGACGGTCGTAGGCCGCGCCAGCGGAGCCTGCTGCACATAGACTCAGCAGCGCTTGGTTGGCTGCCCACCAGTTAGCTGCAACAGTGCGGTGCCCCATGGTGCGGCGGGAGGCCAGTCTATTGTTGATGTACTAACATAAAAAAAATAAATAAAAACTGACAAAAAATACATAAATTGAAATAAAACTATCGAAAATGTTGACGCATTACACAAATGTATTGGTGCGCGTGATATATAAATCTATGGTATATACTGAACTGATTTGTATGACTGTGTAATAACTGTTTTATGTCTGTTGTGCGTTTTGCATTTAACCAGCTCCGTTCAACTTAACTAAGTCAACGCCAAATTGCAAAGCGCTTCGCCCGCTACTCTCACATCAACCGCTAGTCGTTGAACTCTGTATGCGTGTATCCATTTCCGTAGACCCAAATAACGATTTGTTATTAGTCCTTTCAATCTACTATCTTAATTACTATAGTATTTGGAAGAGCAACAAATAATGGAAAAGATATTTGCCACATGACCATTTCTCAATAAAACTTTACTGCTTGTGTAAAATATATAAATGAAGAAAATTTGCTTTTTAAGGCACGATTTCACTAAAGCGATAAAATTGTTTAAAAAGTGAAATCTAATATTAGACAACTCTAGAAGCCACAAGTGGTGAAAACACCATTTAATTTTGACCCGGCTTGCTTAAATTCTAAATTCTATTTTAAATTAATATTACTCCATTAAGTCTCGTCTTGAAGACAACAATTTCATGAAGAAGCAAAAAAATCAATGACATTATCATCGATCCAATTTGCACCTCTCTTTCTTTTCAGCATACACGCCGTTATCTTGCCAATAAGGAGACAAATGTTAGTTTATAATTGGTCCATCGCAGCTAGATTATTAACATAGATCATTGACGTGCCAGTTACCTATAAGAAGAGTTTAACCGCTCTATGTTGCATCATCTTGCTGGAACTATTTATCTCTTCTGCAGGTGTTGAAAAGTATGATAATAACTTTTTCTGGAGTCGCACTCCAAATCCACATACGTTAAGTAAAATTTTCATGATTTTCACACTTTGTACCGATGTAAACATATGCAATTTGACAGCTGATTTGACAGATATCCCTCTACGAAGTCCATACAAGAAACTGCTGATGGGTTCACCAATACTCTCACATGTATTATGCCAGTACTGACAGTAAAATGATTGTCAATTTTTGCGTTTTACGTCGAAAGGGGACAGCATACATTTCCATAGAAGTATCGAGAAGTTGTGAAACAGCTATGTAGCTGTTATTCAGTGCGATAATCCAAAAATGTTGCAATAAGTCTTTTTGTGTTAAAAAAAATTTAAATACTGAGGGAGTTTTCAAAAATAACATACGTAAGTTATTATTAAGTTTCAAATAAAGTTATTTTTTTAGTTAATTTTAATTTTTTTATACATTTTTAAATTCCGAAATATTTATTTTTAGTATTATAACTAATTTTACTTAAAAGTTTTGAATTTATTGAAGAAATTAACTTATATTATCTACTGCGCAAAGGAATTTTTCACTTGTAATAGATTTACAGTCATAACTTTAAAATTGCAGCTATGATGGATTTATGGTCAGCAATGACCTCAGTAAAAGACATGCGAGTGAGCTGTACAGATATATAGTGAATCAATTCCGAATACCCATGTGTTAAAGAGGGATGCAAGCTCATACACATACGTTTGCTAAAATTTTTTCAGCTGTGACTGTCTTATGACCGATCAGATGACTGTCACTGTTCTTGTAGGGTAAACTTACCCGTTACTTATTTTTGTGTGAAGATGATAGGACTGAGTATTTATGTGTTATCGATTTAATTAGAGTTGCTGCTATCTGAAATTCGAGGCGATAAAGAGCATAGGAAACGATAATATATGCGGCGAATATGTCACTAGACAAACACTTCGACTCATATTAATTTTTATATGTACTCTTTGTGTATTTATGTACATGTTGCATATAATTAGCAAACATCTACATCATTAATTTTATTTCGAGGCTCTTCAAGTATACCCATTTAATCCTACTTAAAGCCCGGACAAAGCCACATTGTTCAAACAAAAAAGAACACTGTGTGTACTCTTTTTTAATGCATAGTACGAGCGTTGGGCGGATCCAGTCCACAATGGGCGTCGCAAACGCCGCGATGGCCAGTAAACAAAAACGTTCATATGCCTTTATGAATTCCTCAAACAACAACAAACATTTAATAAAAACGCACATTATATTTATTATATTTTAATGCAGCATTTTTTGTTAGAAACAACAAAATCGCACACGAAAGGCTGCAACTGCACACACACAAATTAAATAAATTAAATTAAAAAACGAAGAAACATAATGTTGCACCGCATCATGAAAAAGCGCATAAAATATATGTATGAGCACCATTAATATTATAAAAATGCAAAAGTGCACAGGCCTGCAATTAAACGACACAGCGACCATGCAACAAACCGCGCAGTTAGAGAGAGTGCTGGGTGCGGTGGCAGCGGTGCTATTTCATTGTTCGCCACGCTCCTTTACTCACACAGACGCGGGCGCGGGCCGAATGGCCGATGCATTACGCCAACTACAGATTACGGTAATGAAATAAATAGATAAATGTGGAAATGTGTGTGGCTCTTCAAACAACAGAAAGCCCTCGGTATTTTGGGATGAGAAAAACGGAGGTTTCTAAAACAAGCTTCACATTACAGTACTTCTTCTTATCTGCGCGATAACTGTACGCGTCAAAAATTGTTCCTCCCTCGATAATCGTATTATTCCGCTTTGCAACTACATAGGTTTCCATAAATCCTAGCCTTAATCTAGAAATAGCGGATTTATCTTTTTCGGCCCGAAGAAAGCTCATAATCATAATGACTGCGGGTAGAAAGGTCATTTGTTGAAAATCTGGTAGTCAGTATATTTTTTGATACTTCGGTTAAATTACTGAATCATTAACCAAAAAGGGTAGGTACTGTAAGGCTATAAAGTAGGTAGGGTTTTCAACATCCTATTCTCATTTCTCTTTGCGGTATACGTTGTAACTGGCTCTCTTAGTATATCTTTGGCAGCTAAGTCCGTTCGGTACATTGTTTCGCAGTCCCCAATATATGGGATTAATTAAACGATTTTCAGTATTCTTCCAAAGTAGGAATAACCATATTTTCTTTCAAAGAACCTTGCATATATATTTGAGCGCACAAAAATAAGGGCTCCCGACCACTGAACGCGGTTCTCTGTGAGTTTTCTTTATTTTCGTGCGTAAACCATTGGAAAAA